ATGAGAGACTAGAAGATGCTGGTGTGACGTAAAACCCAGGACACATGCTGAGCCTGTTCTTTGTGTGGGGGTCAGAGCCCCTGCTCCAGAGGCAAGGGTTGACAGTGAAACAACAAACTTCCAGGTCAAAAAATGTTCCATCGTGATCCCACAGTTCATTCTAATACATGGAGGCTTTGCCTGAAATCTGAATCCTTCTCATTGTTGAGCGCTACTGCTTGTATGTGAAGTAGCCTTCCAGGCGTAGCAAGAACACTGGATGCTCTAGCAGTCCCAGCATGCTAATAGTGGGGCAGCGCTTATGGGCACCTAGGCTAGGGACAGAAGTTACACGTAAACCGGTTTAAGTGATCAAAAACTCGTTTAAACCTGTAACCAAATAGAAGTTCTGTACACAGAAACCAGTTTCAAAATGGCTGAAACTGGTTTAAGATAAACCTGGTTGAATGTAGTATCAGACTTCACTGATTTGGGTCAAACCAGTTTATGAAATGTCTGTCCCAGACTCCTTCCTGGTTCAAGTTAAATCACAGTCCCCCAGCATCTTAGCATGCTTTTCAGCCCTGGCCTGGGCTGTCCTGTTTGTTCCAGAGACCAGGGCTGATCCCCTCCCCTCCCCTCCCCCACACTCCCTAGCTGGAACAGTGAGGGCTGGCTGACAAGGGTGGGGGCAAGCCCAGTCTGAAGGGGGGGGGGGGCTGCCCACCCCACCCGCACTCCCCTCCCCAACAAACTCTGGCTGGGGGCTGGGGTCAGGGAGGGAGCTTAAACAACCCTTCCCCTGCTCAAACTTACTGCTCGCTGCAACTGTGGACTACAAATCCCAGAGGCACAGAGAAGCAGAAGTGATGGCAACCCTGCAGAGTCCTGCTGCTGTGATTCTGGACTGCAAATCCCAGAGCCCTCCAGGGTAGCAGGAAGGAGGCAGTAAACATACATCTAGAGAGCCATACTCTAGCACCCCTACACCCGCCTGGCTTCTGGCCTGAGCCACTGTAGGCATCTGGCTGCATTTCCTGAATCAAAGGTAAATGTCTGTTCACTTCTGTTTCAATTTTATCTGTGCAATTTAGATTAACCTGCAAAAACCGAACTGACTTAGCCTCCGGCTTTTTGACTGTCACCTAGCCTTAAGGAGCAACTCAGACATCCCATACTCACCTTGGAGCAGCGCTCCCTTTGCAGGCTCTGTGGACATGTCCCTCAGAATTCTGACTAGCTTGAAAAAGAGGCCAGCAAGAGTCTTCAAACCCAGTTGGAGGTGCAGCACCAAGCAGCATGAATCACTTTTAATAAGCTGCTTTCAAACCCTTTGCCACTCCCCAAGAAACAGTTCGGGCCACCTGCAGCCTGGTCTGGACGCAGCTCCAACTGACTGCAGTACAGCTTAGCTGAACAGGGATGGCAGTGGGCTGGAACTGGGATGAGGGGTACCACTGCCCCACCCAGCCAGGCCTTCATGCAAATGGGGAGGGGAGCATGCTCACAGTTGCAGGTTCCTCCTCTCCCTATGTGGGCAGCACTGTAATCACAGACGAGGCCTTGGCTCTGATCACACACGTGAACGAGGTCACAGGCCTCTCCCAGCCGCCGGGCACATATCCTGCAACAGCCACAGCCATCCAGAACCAGAGGGGACCCAGGAGGACAATGAGGTGGGATCCAGGGGCAGAAGCATGGTCTCCGGCACAGCTGAGCACAGACCTGCGGAGGCAAAACCATCAGTGTTTACCAAGGCTTTTGCCTTGATACCATGACAGCTGTAAAACATTTCCATGGAATTCCGCCTTGGTTGGGCAGGAGGAGTTGCAGATGAATAAGGACCACCGCCTCCCACCCCCCCTCCATGTTAGGAGACTTTATATGCACTGGGAGGTTGGGAGGGAGATCTGAAAAACACTATTTGTATAGAGATCCCCCCTCCCAGGCCATGTCACAGTTGACAGCCCAAAAGTTGCATGTTCAAGGCCACAGCAGAAGTGTTCACAGCACAGCCATGTCAGATGCCAGCAAATCTGAATTCTGCTAAATACCTTCCTCTGCAGCAGTGCACCTGACATGAGGGGGTTTTGTCTGTAGAAGCTTCAGTGGCAGACTCTGGAGACAAAATCTATCCACAGTGGCTAGTGCAATCCCTGTGTTGTATGCTTTTAGCATTGAATTGCATTAAGACAAGAAAAAAAGCTTACTGAGGGTTACAACAAGGAATAAGAATAGTTACAGCAATATAATACAGCAAGAATACAATCAGCAATTGCACTAGCTAGGATAACCTTAAAAGGGCCCTCAATCATACTTCTTTTGGAAATAAGCTGAGAGCTTGTAGAAATTTCAGAAATAAATTGTTCTCCATGTACAGCTTTGCACATTTGGCCAGGTGTATTTTTTAAAGGATTTTCCCCTCCTAAGGAAGTATCTATTACAGGCCACTGTTGGGGAAAGATTAGCTGGGCAGTTGATCTGATCTGTTTTCACTAATCCTATTTTCCTCTGATCCTTTGTAGTTAGCTGGTCCTTAGAAGACAGTTTGTCCAAACAATTACAAGCCTCAAGTGTTTGGGTAAGATTCAAGTAGGCATGAAATTGCAATGATTGCATTGCTCGTGGTATGTCCAACTTGTGAAATTCAAGGAGCGATTCAAGAAATGCGTGTGTAAAAAACTAAGAAGTTTTAAACTGTCCTGCCCTTTGCAAATGGAATCGTTTTGTGTCCAAGAGAAAAAATATTTAGAGCAAATAAAATCCTGTAGGAGGCATCAGCTTTACATGTGCTTCCCTGCATTGCTGAAATGAAAACTGAATATTCCTGAAAGACTGTGTTGATAACTTGGCTCTCTGCCCCTAGCAGTTTCAGTACAGAACAGTGAATATGTAGAAATAGCTCTATAAACTATACTACAATAGCTGATACAAGCATGCATGCCAGAGCCCTGGCCACCTGTAGTAATGGAGTCAAGCACGCAGGTATAATCCCTTTGTCCTCACTGGAATTACACCAGGGATACATTTGGCCCTTACATTCTAAATCATTGCTGTTCAATTCAAAATGCCTCTGTAATTAGTAACTCTGCCTCCATGAGGCTGCATACACATGGCTACACACCTCCTACCACTTGCATGTTACTAACCATGGCTAGGTCTTTGAACAGCTGCAGCTACAAAGCTGGTTTGACTTGGTTCAAAGTTGCTTTTCAAGGAAGAACCCAAAAGCTTCCTTGACTAAGATCAAGCTCCCCCTGTCCCCCTTCCCCCTTACCTTGGAGAAGATGCAAAAAAGGGAGAACAGGAGAAGCTGTGTCTCCAGGTGGATTCTCATGCTGCTCTTCTCCTTGACACTTCAGCACATCACTCCCCTGTCTCTCTGGTGTGTTTGCAGTTTTCACAGTCTCTGAGGAAGGTCCTGCTGGTGTTTATACTCTTCCCTGCTCTGATGTCACTGGCAGGCTCCAATATAAACATGAGTAGGTTTGGACAAGCCTCAAGATTTTTTTTCCAAACCCACATTCCAGCTGACATTTCTACTCACCTCAAGGTGAGAATGTGCAGCCCATTGAGAAAACAGAGGAGGGAGGCTCTCCCTTGGGGACTGCAGGAGCAGGAGAGGGAACTGGGGAGAGAGGAATGCAGACTCTGTGAAAGGCAGGAGTGTGTGTGCAGCAAAGAGAAGCTCCAGCTGTGAATGGCAGCTGCTTAGAGCTGAAAGCCCCATCTGATGCCTCAAAAAAAATCAATGGAAGAGAATCCATTTGTCTACAGAACTATTTCTCCCCACGGTTTTGGATATCTAGCCCCTAGGATTCAGTGATCCCTATGGTGATTCACCTCTGTAAGCTTTGAGAATGGAGTGGCTGATGTGCGGATAGAGGTAGTTAGTTGTGTTAGTCCAAAGTCAAGCAGGAGGCAGGGTAGATTTGCACTTTATAGATTAAATCAGAGATGTGTAGCATAAGCTTTCATGAGCCCAAGCTCACTTCAGCAGATGCTGTGTGGACAGCCAAGCTGTACGATGTGTTAAGTAAAGATCAGGACCCCAGGCCTCAATCTCTATGGAGATTTTTATGGTGGTTCATGATGCTGTTGCCTGGACCAGCCATTGTGGAGACAGAGCAGGGATTCTCAACAAGTGTACCGCAGCACCGTAGACTACCCGTGATTCCACCAGGGTGTTGCAGGCTGCTGCACAACTGTTAGGTGTGCAAGCACCTGCACACAATTCAAAAGATAAACCCAGAGTTTCAAATATGAATCCATAGTGTCCAAAACATGCTGACCTGCTGTGGTCTTTCTAGGTTGTTTGCAGCAGAAAAATTCCTTTATTATTTTTCCATAGTCAAGAAACAAATGAAAGCTCAGGGATGGGATTTTCCAAGGAATGCCTGGGATCAAACAAGGGGTGCCTTGAATCTAAAGAGGTTGAGAATTGCTGTGATAAACTTTTTCAAGTGTGCAGTTTTTATTACATACACAGGGGTATGGTAGATGGAAGTAGCATTTAAGACTTAAAATCTCAGCTCCATGGCCTTAATGCCAGTCCCAAATATTAGAAAATCATGTGTCAAGACTGAAAAATTATGAGATTGTGTTAAAAATCAAAAGGTTCAAAGCACAAATTTGTTCTTCTGATGTTTAAGATTTTTGGGTGGTTACATTCTCAAGCTTTTTTTTTTTTTTTTTTTTTTACAACCACAGGGACCAGAAACTTTTGTGTAAAAAAAAAAAAAAGCAAAAAAAAGCTGAGATTTATGAATCCAGAAATTTGCAATTTAGTGGGGGGGGGGGGTGGGGGGGTAATCAGGTACTAGGATGACAAGTATTCAGGTACTCCTGAGTCAGTAAAATTATAATGCTTCTTGCTGTGCTACAAGTTTTAGCCATTTTACAAAGTCAAAGCCATTTCCTGTCAAAGCCTTGTACCAAAGCTCTGTTCTTCCCGTAGCAGTTCAGGCTATCTCCTGCATTTATAGACATCTGAGGACAGAAGCACCAAGCAAGTGCCCTAAGCATGTAGTTTTGAAACCATACAGCTGCAAGACTAGAAACTTTGGACCATGGAAACACACTTGGACATTTTCAGTGACCATCTTAATTCCGCATCTCAACATTGCCCGGCTGCTTTATGGCTCAGCACAGCACTGATTGTAAGTGATGCATTAATAAGAGCTTGGCCTGTCTGGAAATCTAGCATCACCTTCCAAAGGCTGGTGTTAAATGTAATAGCACAGAGCCGGAACAGGACTTCCTTTCCCCTAGGAAAAGCTGAATGTCTTCATACCTCATGGAAAAGATTTTCCATGCAATTCAAACTCCTTCTCAAGGCAATTACCACTCTAAGACGTGATTCTGAAGCAGTCTGAGAAAGACTGTCCTGGAGGAGATGAGGACCATACACTGTGGTCAGTACTCTCTTTCC